CTTATTACGCATCTAATACTGCAGGGTGGAGCACATCTCCCTCGCGATATGCCGTCTGTTGTTGTGATGGTGAGAGTGCTGTCCTTTGGCTGCGCGGCGAAGGTAAGTGATAATCATTCGCAGCAATTTTTCTTGTTCTTTTACCAATTGAATTCTCTTTGAGGGTTCCGCTTTTAGTTAGTGCTCTTTTATTTTCCAGGATTTAGTCTCTAAGAAGATACAACCAACTGAGATTTTTGATATGGTTTTCGTGAATAGATTTCTACCAGAGTTTCAGACGCTTATGGTAGAGGACTGCACAAGAGCTGAAATGTTACGCAATAAAAGTAGGTCAATCACTACAATGTGATTTTCAACTATTTTAAAGTTATCGTTGTTCTTCTTATTTCGTCAGTTTTCTTTTCAAATACCTTTTTCCCAACAATTCTCTTCGTGATAATGCACTATGAGAAATATTCCTTTTTTTGAAGTCAGCAGAAATTTAGGATAGGTAGGAAGATTCTCTTTTCAGAAGACCTCGAAGAAGAGCTTGATGTTAGCAATTTATTGAGCAAGCCATCAGATCAGCTGATTACGTTCTTGAAGGTAAGACTCATAGACTTCGACAACTCATTGGATCAACAACTCATTAGGCTAGTCGAGTAGCTGCTCTACTTTGGTACCACTGTTGTCTTGACATGTTACCTAGCAAGAAGAGAATTGGAGATCTGCGTGGATTGGCTCGATATATGGAAGTCCTTCCGTTGTTAAGAGATAATGTATGTTTTTGAATCATTTTTTACTGACATCTGTTTCAAAGTTGTACTACCGTTTTTTGAACTCGCATTTTTTTTCAATTCGGCCAATATACTACCATTTCTTGAGATTTTTTTTTCAAGTCACCAGTTCTCTGGAGGAGCCCTTCATCTGCTTTAGTAAATGTTGGCTATATAAAAGCCATCAGAAACAAAAGATGAAGACTTGATGATGATGTAATGCTAGGATAAGAAACCATAGGATCTTTTTTTTTTCGAAAAATTACTAGAGTTTTTCTTTAGATTATCTGTTCTGGTGTCTGGTGTCATCTTATGTTCCACCGTCTCATTCACTCCAATCAGTACGAAGCCGCTCTAGCCGATCCGACGATTTATGCGGCTGTGATTG